CTCGTGTAAACACACTAAAATTATCTCCTGTTAATTGGTTGAAAGATTATTAGATTTGTTTTGATAAAATACTGCAGTGTAAAGTTGAATATCATGATGCTAGCCATTTTAAGGCATCATTATTGTTTTATGAAAGGCGTTTACACTCAGTATGCATGTTAGATTAAGTTTCATTTAGGCACCCGAAAAATTTTTTTGCTTCTTGTCCCGGGAAAACTAAAAATGATGTAAACAGCGCAGGTTTTATACTCTTGTGCATGTTCGATAACAAGAAGACAAATTTTTATTTTCTTTTGAATAGAAATTCCAATAATGTCACATTTGGTGTATATACAAATATTAGAAATATTCGAAATGAAACTGTTGGTATTTTTACATTTTCACTTCCTACATCATATGCAGAGAAGACACACTACTTAGCAAACCCCACCTCTTAATAACATCATTACATGGCATGTTCTGTGTGCTCTGCATTACAGAAATTCCTGATTAAGCTGCAGTTTCATGTAATAATAGGAATAGCGAAGATAATGTGCTCCCAGACATTAGTTTCTATGACAACAGGTTATTAACAAGCAACTCAAATTTTCATCTTTAGTATAAATTTATATTTTTATTTACAGAACCCAATAATAAGTTGACTATAATTTCATCAACTACAATAGATAGTGAAATTTTATTAACACCAACTCCAATACAGTAAGTAATTATTTCGTCTTTATGTACATGTAGATTTTCAGTGATACAATCTTCCAGACAAAAAGCAGTTTTCAAATTTGTTGATTTTATTCACCTCCTACAAATCTTGTGGACTGTTAGCTTTGATGAAAAATCAATGAATGTAAATTTGTGAGGACGGAGATTTGAAATATCAATAATCAGCCATTGGTAATGACAGATCATAATGTCAATAATATACATTTTATCGTGTTATTATTTTCACGCAGTGAGTGTGGATAAGAAAGCATTGAAACACTGAAAATATACTGTAAAATACTTTATTTTCACTGGAATTAATTTTCACTGAGAAGACTTTTAGGTGTGTTATATGGAACTTATTTTCACTGATTTTTGGCGAGTTGAATGTAAAAGATAGGAAAAAAGGTATATTATTTTAAAGGTATATGAATCATTCCTTCAGCGAAAATATTGAAAATTAATTCCAAGCGAAAATAAAGTATTCCACAGTAGTCTTTCTTATTCTGTCACAAATGGCACTCTTTCTTGTTGTGAGATAAAATTCCTCCTGTAATATTGTGGGTCCGGGAAGCAGAATTCGACAATGACTAAAATGCTGACTATTTATCTTTTTATTTCAGTATTCCAGTAGAGTCGCGATGTGTTGATCAAAATGAGTTAGATGTAAGTATACACTGAACTGTAATGCTAAGAGACACGAACACTGGTTTTCCACGGTCTCACTTTGGTTGAAACCTATTACATTGTCTTCTTGTTTGCATGCTCCCCTCAAATCTGCTGTGAAATGTGCGAGAGACAAGTTTTCACAAATGTTTGGGTCAAGGGAAGTCACGTTTTGTAGCACATCAGAGCTCCTGCTATCTGCGGGGACTTTCAGCAAACAATATTCTAATTATTTGAGTGCTAATTTTTTTTTCACTTTTCATCCCGAAAATCCACATAAATTAAACAATACTGTTCCAGACACAATCCAGTGATTTTTCACCCCAAATAAAACAATATCCAAAAGTCTCCAGTCACTCACTGCAATCGGTTCACTGTTGTTTTAAATTTATGATGTTTTCTTGTTAAACTTTCCAGACTGATTCTGAGAGGACTTTACCAAGTAAAGTCGACTCTATAGACAGCCAGGCTTCTGATTTTGATCCTCTAGACCAAAGTTGGTCAAGAAAAAGTGTAAGTAAATCATATGCTTCCAGTTCTTGATACTTAAGTGTCAGTAAATTTTGAGTCACCAAAAACTTGTTTTGTAACATGTAGTAAGTTATGCATTATACTATTTCTATGACAAAAGGAGGCATCTGGTGAATTACAACCGTTTAGCAAAGTGCAATTTATGGTCTCAAGGCAGGGCCAAATTGTCTCATTGTCATCGCGATATGTAGGCCAATCTTAATTTCAAATTGTCGATATGCGAATTTTTATACAATCAAAAAAAAAATTATATAGGTGTTGTAAATATAGCATGTAAATCTTTATATTTGCTCAAAAACATGTTATTTTTGACAAAGATAAAAATGGCCGATTCAGTACACAATGACCTATTATATTTTTTTTCTTGGTTAGTAAAGCTTCTTGTAAATTATGAAAAAGAAGACAACACATTTTCAACCCCAAGTTCATTACTTTACAGTGATCTTTTGTAAATTTTAAGAAATTAATTTTAAAGCCACAATTGTTATAAATACAGATATTATTTCCAGCCCAAAGTTCAGTGCGAATATTTTCACATGTTGTAAAATTGTTTCAGATATTGCTTTTAGTTTTTGTTTAGGTTTGTCAATTCTAATCAACATTTCATGTGGGGAGAAGCAGACTACAAAATTATTTTGTTGATGGTGCCAAAAGAGACTGTGGTGCTCAAATGTTACTTATTTTGACCATAGAAGCATCTTTGTAATTTACGTTATTGCATACACTATCAAAAAGAAAATTTGGTAACTAAAATCTCAGTATTTTCTAAGATACACTAACAGCTTTCATGAACTCAAACCTGATTCCTGACCACAATGCATTGCTCATTATATTAACTGGTTTTTGCTTGCTTCATTAAAAACTCAACACATCTGTCATTTGTAATGCTCTTTTTTCCATTACAGAAAACTAGTGTTTTTTCTGAGTGGGACATTCCATATGAAGACATGCATATACTAGAATTAATAGGTCGTGGACGATTGGGAAAAGTTTTTAAGTAAGTACATGTACAGGTCCTCACATATTAAGAACACCATAATTATTTCGACCATAATTTTGACTTCACATTCTTGTGTTTTTTTCTGTAATTTCTTTGTTAGTTCTAGACCACAATTCAATACAATTTTTCATTGGCTACAAGTTAACAATAATGAAAAAAATATGGAAACAGTTGTACCATGTATAGCTGACGAAAAATGAAAGATTAACAACTCTTTACTGGCGAACAATTTGCATCGCCTTCAAACTACTGTCCATTGTAACATTTTTGTCTTTACAAATGTTTGTGTTTTCATAGTTTAGGTAAATTTGCAGGTTAAATATTTTATGAAAGTCACTTTGAAAGTGAGGGGTTTGAATAAGAATACTGTAAATAATATTCACTAATATTCATAATAATTGACTAATATTCACTGGGTTTAAATTTCGCTGATTTAGTATTTCAGGCATATTCAGTGGGTTTTAAAATTCACAGTTTTATCATTTAGATAATGTGTTCTATGCTAAATTTTACATATTCACTGGGTTTTATTTTAGCGCATTTTGCAGTCAGCGAAATAAGCAAAATTAAAACCCAGTAAATAATTAATCCTTTACAGTAATTAAAATGAATTGTTTCATGCTGAAGTATGTTGTTTCATAGCATTGCAAAGCTGCACATTAGAAGGTATATGATAATTTTTAGGAAACATCCAATTACAAGATTATTGCTCATAATTTATGTGTTTTATTTTTTTAGAGGATATTGGCATGGTGATGTTGCAATTAAACAATTTAATATAGATACAGATAATGAATTACAATTACATTCTTTTAAACAAGAGGTAAGTCTGCTGTCACAGCCACTAGGTTAACCACCTCAGTAATTTGCTGTCATGCCAAAGCGGTCATTATCTGGGTTAACTACCTCAGCAGACTGCGATCACAGCCAAGAGTTCATTATCTAGGTTAACCACCTCAATAATTTTCTGTCATGCCAAGGCGGTCATTATTTGGGTTAAACCACCTCAGCAGACTGTGATCACAGCCAAGGGGGTCATTATCTGGGTTAACCACCTCAGTAATTTGCTGTCATGCCAAGGCGGTCATTATTTGGGTTAAACCACCTCAGCAGACTGTGATCACAGCCAAGGGGTCATTATCTGGGTTAACCACCTCAGTAATTTGCTGTCATGCCAAGGAAATCATTATCTGGGTTAACTACCTCAACAGATTGTGATCACAACCAAGGGATCATTATTTGGGTTAACCACCTCAGTAATTTGCTGTCATGTCAAGATGGTCATTATCTGGGTTAAACCACCTCAGCAGACTGTGATCACAGCCAAGGGGGTCATTATCTGGGTTAATCACGTCAGCAAACAGTTAACACGGCCAAGGGTAGCAACAGCAGATCTTTTAAAATTTATTTGGAAACTGTTATTATCAATTACCTCTTCACATCCTTGTAGGGTCTTGTATTCCTAGCCAAAACAATGATTCTAAAACCATAATATGCATATCATCAATTTTTAACTTTTTTTTTTGAAGGTTCAAACTTTTAGAAAAACACGACATGAAAATGTTGTGTTATTTATGGGAGCCTGTATGAATCCTCCTCATTTAGCAATTGTAACAAGGTGAGTATTTTACACTACTATTCTACTGTGTAGTTATTGCTTGTTAGCGACCCATTGCTTTTGAAATATAACATTAATTGGTTGTTGACACAGACTGATCGACCATTTGTTGTTGACCCAGACTGATTGACCATTGGTTGTTGACCCAGATCGATTGACTGTTGGTTGTTGAAACAGGTTGATTGACCTGTTGCTGACACAAAGACTAATTGACCATTGGTTATTGACACAGACCAATTGACCATTGGTTGTTGACACAAGTTGATTGACCATTGGTTGTTGACACAGGTTGATTGACCATTGGTTGTTGACGCAGGTTGATTGACCTATTGCTGACACAAAGACCGATTGACCATTGGCTGTAGACACATACCGATTGACCGTTGGTTGTTGACACAGGTTGATTGACCATTGGTTGTTGACACAGGTTGATTGACCTATTGACACAAAGACCGATTGACCATTGGCTATAGACACAGGCCGATTGACCATTGGCTGTGGACACAGACCGATTTACCATTGGCTGTAGACACAGAGCGATTGACTTATTGCTGGCACAAAGACTGATTGACAAGCTGTTTTTTTGACACCAAGCTGGTGAGCCAGTTGTTTGTTGACACATAAACATTGACCACTACCATGCTCATTGATGCAAACCGTTGATTGATCGGATGTTTTTTAAAACAAAGGCTGATTGACCAGTTGCTTGTTGATATAAAGATTTTGACCCATTGCTTTTTAACACATGGACTGCTTGTTTGACGCAGACTCATTTCCTGTTTAACACAGACCAAGTGATTAATATTCTATTTTTCTCAAAAGTTTATGTAAAGGAAGCACTTTATATTCACCAATCCATGTGTGGAAAGAAACATTCAATTTACAGAAGAGTGTTCTTATAGCTACACAAATAGCACAGGTAAATATAATATCCACCTTGGGTTAATATAACCATGCTGATTGGTCAGAATGAGGTAATGTGACATTCAAGAAGACCAATCACTGTTTTGGTTTGTCTAGCTGGAAAGAAGTAAATTGAGCGGATGACTGATTTCAGAGTTGCCAACAAGTTTGATTCTAATTTCTGATGCTCTGAGCTTTAAAGTCTGAACACATATTTATGTTCTATAATGTAGAAAATTGTAGAACAGATATTTAAGTATGCCAGGAGTTTTGAGTTTTTCTGAAATCTGTGACTTTAAGCAGTAAACAAACAATAAAAGCAGTCAAATTTTCGCCTCTAGAAATATTTGCAATGTTATGATTTGTAAGCATCTTTGAGCAAAAGATTTTGCAAAAGTCACTGTAACTTCCTGTCTTAAATTTCCATTCCTACTTTGGAAATATGTGATTCCCTGAACAAGCTAAAAAACATAATGTGTTAAAATGCTAAAAAAATATGGTATAATATTTCTGTGGATGCTTGAATGAAGGGAACACCTAATTGCCAACATTGTCAGTAAACTTGCGAATCGCCTGTGCTAATTCAAACTGGCGTCTGGAAATGTTATCAGATTAGGCCATTCCATTTTTAATTGGAGGCCAAGATACTGGTATGATCGGTATATGAATATTCCATAATAATTTTATCATTATTGTAATCATACTTTATAATTTTTAACATTTAAATTGCGCAAAACGAGAAAAAAAATATGAAAATTTAGTATAAAGTAGAGACTCGACAATGCATCCCTCTCAGTAAATACCATTGCCTCCTTTTGAGAATGAGGTGGCCCAAAGACATCAACACAGTTGATTCATTAGCAAGTTTGCAGATGATGTTGGTGATTACGTGTTCCTTTCATTCACACGTCCACAGTAAAATGTAAATATTCTGTTCTGCCTTTACTGCGCATTTAATTTCAAGAGTACTAGAGGGTCTCATCCGTTACACAAATATACTTTAAATGTAACTAACCTCCCAAGGCAAGTAAACTCACCGAACTAAGTGAGTGTCTATTGTTTACAACTATAGCCTAATTTAAAAGGCTAGCTTAATTTCATATTTTGTGACTTGCTCATTACCCATTCATCATCTTAATAATGATGGTATATGTATTCGTCAGGAATTGGTATCCAACTGATTTGCCAAGTGGGAGTATAACTCTAAAATTGATCATCACGGCTACAATATTTTGTGATTGTACCAAAAACCTGGGAAAGTCAGCACATGTTCCTTGGATCGGCTTTTCTTATTCCTGTACCGCTTATCGGCCAATCACATCACATGTTTTGAACCCGCATCCCTCAATTATGTCTGACTGTTGATTTGTTTTTATTTCAAGGGTATGGGTTATCTCCACGCACGAGGAATAGTTCATAAAGATTTGAAATCTAAGAATATCTTTTTAGAAAACAGAGATAAAGCCGTTATTACAGATTTTGGTTTGTTTAGCGTTACAAAACTATGTGAAGCTGATAGGTAAGTTATTTAAAGGTTTTCACTATGCATGCATTTTCTGCTGGTGTCAAAAGTTGACTTTGACACAGGTTATCAATTCTGAATATGTACGGATTCTCCTGTTCTTGTATTTATTGTTCATCACCAACATCGCATATTATCATTTATGTTGTTTGTTGAAATGCATTATGACTGTAATGTGAGAAGCATGGCTCAAAGTCATAATGTGTATTTTACATCGCAGATATCCTTGAAATACAACAAATAGTTTTGTCAATTTTGTCAGTCTTTTAGTAGATCTCTATAAACAGGTATTAACTTTTGGAGGTTTTGTACATCTCATACACATGTGTATTTTCAGAGACAGTTGACTTTGACATGTCTAGAGCATGTATTATGCTGCACCACAAAGCATCCACTGAATGTGGTTAGAAAGCAGTTTATTTTGAACTTCAATATTTAAAAATTAGTATGAACAAATACATAGTTGTATTTATATTGGTCAACAAGTGTATATTTATTGCTTAGTGTTATTCAACTTGTATTTCTTGTAGGCGAGGTAACTGTATTCGTATACCAGAAGGTTGGCTATGCTACTTGGCACCAGAATTAATTACATCCCTCAAGATCACCAACCTTGGCCTTGATAATGAATTACCATTTTCAAAATCATCAGATGTTTATTCGTTTGGGTAAGTGATTTCAATTTAGTACCTTTGAAGTAAAGATCTGTTTCATATGACTGAGTACACCTGACATACAATGTAGTTATTGACTTGTTGTTAATAATAAAGCATTAGACTAGTTTTGGCATTGGACTTATGATTGGTAGATAGGAGTTCATTGATCACCAACTTGTACATTTGATGCTTTCATGGATTGCCAATTCCTACATTTGACGCTTTCATTGATCACCAACTTGTACATTTGGTGCTTTCATGGATTGCCAATTCCTATATTTGACGCTTTCATTAATCACTCGTACACTTGTCGTTTTCATTGAACGTCAACTTGTACATTTGTCGCTTTCATTGATCGCCAACTTGTACATTTGATGCTTTCATGGATCGCCAAATCGTACATTTGACGCTTTCATGGATCGCCAATTGTAGACTTGGCTCATTCTTGGATCACCAACTCTTACATTTGTCGCTTTCATTGATCGCCAACTCGTACATTTGACACTTTCATGGATTGCCAATTCGTACATTTGACATAAAATTAGTCCTTGAAATAATATGACTATATGGTTGCAACAAAAAACACATTTATTTGAGTTTAATCGATATCAAAATTATTATTTTGGTCACTATAGACAGTTTTGACTGTACCATCAGCACAAATAAGTAAATAAAGTCAATAGCGAGATTCAACTGCCGCTATGAATAACAAAAGTAATTTTCATTGAATCTGAATCTCAGTGTTGTTGACAGTGACAAAGCCAGTCATTTGATCTTTTCTACGCCAGGCAGTCACATTGACTTATCTGTTGATTCCTCTTTTTAGGACTGTATGGTACGAGTTGTTAGCTGGTGAATGGACCTTCAATAACCAACCAGCACAGTCCATTATTTGGCAGGTGGGGAAGGGTATCAAACAGTCACTAGGCCATCTGCAAGCTTCAAGAGATGTAAAGGTGAGGTTTCATCAGACAGTATGTGTCAAAAACATTCCTCCATTTTGAATTGTTCTATTAAAATAGTGCAGTGGGAAAACAGGTACTATCTCTACTTTTGTTTACAATTAGCCGAAATTATGGAAATATAAATAAACATTAATGGACTTCACTTCCTTTCAGGAAATACTCATGATGTGTTGGTCGTATCATCCCGAATCAAGACCCACATTTGGGGAGTTGATGAAGGCACTAGATCGACTCAGGTTACCAAAGAAACGACTAGCACGTAGTCCGTCTCATCCACTGCATCTTTCCAGATCAGCAGAGTCTGTTTTATAATTGGAGAGGAAATACCTGTTGACTTGATCAAAAGAACATTTGCATACAACGTTCCAGCTGTTGATTACAGCTTTTGTGCCTCGTTTTCAGCAACATTTACACAACAGTGTACAAAGGTGATGAGAAGTCACAGAGAACTTTATGATACTGGATGTATGCCTGAATAATTTTCTGGCATTGTCTTCAACAACATAAGTGAAGCCCTGGCTTAGAGTCGCACAAAATCTGTTCTACCTCCATGCTGATGCCTCGGATATGCTACATAATGGGAAAAAAAGACAAACTTAATGTTTATGATAACAGAGGCCCACTTAAGAAAATTACAAAAAAATGGTATACCTAGCTAGTGACTATGAAGTCTATCTAGCTGGTGTGCAAACTGCAATGTCCACCTAGCTGGTGACACATTAAAAACTCTACCGAGCTGGTGACCAAGATTACATAGTCTATCTGGTTGGTGATTGAAACTACATGTGGCTGATACCACAAAGTCTACCTACCTAGCTAGAGACTGAAACGAAAAACTCTACCTAGCTGGGGATGTATAAGTTTAACTGCAAACTGTAAATAGCTTGTTATAAAAAAACAGCGAAGGTCTTGTAGATCAAGATCATTTAACATGTCATATTAAACGCTAAATTCTCAGACGTTACTTGCTATGCAGTGTAGAATATATCACAGTCACTAGCGACTAATTAAGAACCATGTTCCAACTACTCTATCCAATTGTATGTTATTTAAGGTATCTTTTATTGTAAATAGTATGTATATGCCTTGAGCTGTCATTTATGGGTTCTATGGTGTTCTTTTTCCCATCCTAATATTTAATACTAGAATTTGGAGATGTTTTTCATGGTCCCAGGGAGCCCTATGAAAAGTATGTTGCTGTGACATTTACCAGACCCTTTTACTATACATTGCATTGTGATTCGTTTAACATAATTTAAAAAGATATTCCTGAAAAAGGTACACTCTTGGAAGTAACAGTTCTGGTCACATATGTGTGTTGCTCTGTTTCTTGTTTTTTTACAATAAACAAATCTTTTGAATCTAGGGTTGCAAGGAATTAGTAGATCTGTTCCCTTGCTCTGATAGGTCATGTGAGTCTAGAGATGCCAGGATTGAGTAGATCTGTTCCCTTGCTCTGATCGGTCATGTGAGTCTCCGGATTCCAGGATTAAGTAGATCTGTTCCCTTGCTCTGATAGGTCATTTGAGTCTAGGGATGCCAGGATTGAGTAGATCTGATCCCTTGCTCTGATAGGTCATGTGAGTCTAGAGATGCCAGGATTGAGTAGATCTGATCCCTTGCTCTGATAGGTCATGTGAGTCTAGGGATTCCAGGATTGAGTAGATCCGTTCCCTTGCTCTGATATGTCGTGTGAGTCGAGGGATGCCAGGATTGAGTAGATCTGATCCCTTGCTCTGATAGGTCATGTGAGTCTAGGGATGCCAGGATTGAGTAGATCTGTTCCCTTGCTCTGATCGGTCATGTGAGTCTCGGGATTCCAGGATTAAGTAGATCTGTTCCCTTGCTCTGATAGGTCATTTGAGTCTAGGGATGCCAGGATTGAGTAGATCTGATCCCTTGCTCTGATAGGTCATGTGAGTCTAGAGATGCCAGGATTGAGTAGATCTGATCCCTTGCTCTGATAGGTCATGTGAGTCTAGGGATTCCAGGATTGAGTAGATCCGTTCCCTTGCTCTGATAGGTCGTGTGAGTCGAGGGATGCCAGGATTGAGTAGATCTGGTCCCTTGCTCTGATAGGTCATGTGAGTCTAGGGATTCCAGGATTGAGTAGATCCGTTCCCTTGCTCTGATAGGTCGTGTGAGTCGAGGGATGCCAGGATTGAGTAGATCTGTTCCCTTGCTCTGATAGGTCATTTGAGTCTAGGGTTGCAATAAATTAGGAGATCTGTTGCTTTTCTCCGATAGTTCATTTGAGTCTAGGGATGCCAGGATTGAGTAGATCAGTTCCCTTGCTCTGATAGGTCATTTGAGTCTAGGGATGCCAGGATTGAGTAGATATGTTCCCTTGCTCTGATAGGTTGTGTGAGTCTCGGGATGCCAGGATTAAGTGGATCTATTCCCTTGCTCTGATAGGTCATTTGAGTCTAGAGTTGCAAAGATTGAGTGGGTCTGTTCGATTGCTTTGATAGGTCTTTTTATTCCAAGGTATCAATTAATGAGTGGACCTTCCTCCTGTCTTTGTGATAGGTCTTCAGAATTCCGGACAATAGTGGACAAGATCTAAAATTCATGTTATACATTTGTACTAAGTGTGCTCTGGGACTAGTGTGTGTAAAAATTCAGTGTTTTAATTTCAAAGTCTTATGACGACGAACTTACTTTTTTGAAGATCATAAGCAAGTAGTCACTTTACATGGATACAGGAACAGGTTCACACAGAGACAGTCATTGTATAGTGCACTTTAATCAGGTGCTGAATTTGTTGATGAGCGAAAGCCAAGAATGTAGTATGTTTTAGATTAGATCACTCGCCTTTTTTTATTTGCAAACATCCCTGTGGAACACTTTCTCAGCAACCCTAAGATTCTCAAAAATAACAACACTGTCCATTTCAACTCCTCACAAGTTAAATGTTTCCCATAAAATGTTGGCCTATGAGATAACAATGTTGCTATCTTGTGGAAACCAGTGTAATCTGGTACTACACGATCTTGATGATTATAGTTAAAATACATGCCCTTGTGGTCAGACATTCCGAGAAAAAAAATCTTTGAAATTATGAAAAAAATGCTTTCTACGCAAAAGCAGCCGATTTGTTTCCAATTTATAGGAAAAATGGAGATAATGAATTGAATTTCTTAAATACTCAAAATTGTAAAATAAGTGTTTTTTTAAAAGAAACTCGTATTTATGACACCATCTACTTATTTATGGTTAGTGTTTCCGTGGAAAATGGAATATACAAGAGATATGTTTGGAATTGCCAAATAAAACTAGCATCATGATGATTATAATTTCATTTTGTTTCCAATTACTCAGTTGAATTGTAAATATATTGTATAAGGCAATATTGTTTTTGACAATACATTGTTTGGTGACTGCAGTTGAGTTTTTTATTGGAATGTATGTTGTAAGAAATCTGAATGAATCTTTGTAATGATATTAATGATCATTATGCCAGGGTGCTTTGTCTTTTGTTGGCTAAGATGGAATCACCATATTCAGCAAGGTAGGGTAAGTTTTCTTCTTGGTGAGGTGTGGACTCTCCGCCTGGGGTAAGGTGTGGCTAATAGAAAACCACAGCCAACGAGGGCCTGGAATGAGATTTCTCACACGAGTTGAGGATTTGTTTGTGTCCCGAGAGCCGCAGACAAAAAATTTACACTGAGTGGGAGAAATCTCATCCCAGGGCCTTGGTGTGTAGGTTTCCTTTTTCTCACATGACATCAAAATAAATTGTTAAACAGAGAAAGCAAACCTGATGCATGTTTAGCGTAGATGCAGGCTTGTATTATGCTGTATCAGAAAACATACTCCCCAACATCCACTGAATATACAAGTACTAAGTTGTTAGCAGTATTTTTGAACCTCAATAGATAATCAGTGTTCTAAGTAACTGTTAAAAATAGCTAGACGTACGAACAATGGCTCTTTATCGACAGCATAGAAGTTAATATTTAATTGTAGGTAGAACGTAAGAACATGCACAACAACTATAAAATAGAATCGCTAAATGATTCCATAATAGAACATGTTACATGCATTAAGTAGTAAGCTCAAGGAACGAGTTAAACAGTGTGTTCACTCCATGAGGTTCCTCAGTCAAGCCGGGATATAGTTTCCTCCTCAACATGCCTGAGATGATTCTCGTTGCCATTGACAACACATATACCAGAAATAGACATGTGTAATGTTATGTCCAATAGAATTAAAATGTAATCTGTCTGTGCTTCACCTCTGCTCATGTTCCATACAGTTTGGAGCTTACTCTTTATAATGTTTTCAAAGACAGTGTGTAAGGAGTACATACCGGCGTGGAAATCACACACGGAATTGGTGCAGTTCTGTGCGGGGTTTGTACAGTTTGTTAAACATGTTGCTACACCCTCTGCCCTATACTGGAAGAGAGGTGACAGTAGGCATCACCGATATAAACACTGTATTGTGGGCTTCCACCACAAAATGTGGACTTCAACCTGACATTATCACAACCACAAACCCTATGCAGGGATCTTGGCACCGTAGGCAAGTTCCTCTGATTACATGTCTGTTTCGCCACCAGACATGCCAGTAACATTAAATCTCCTGGCAAGTCAGCATCAGTGGAGGGAGTTAATAATACAACTGTTAACACCTGTTTAGCAGGGCTACAAAATATTGTTTTTCCAAACCAACTGCATGTACAGAATCACCCATGAAATCTGTGTGGGCCTTCTCAAGGTCCCGTACATTTTCTGAATCAATGCCAATCTTTCAGGGGTCTGAACAATCAGTCACATAGTTTGTTACACCCACGGCGCTATGCTGGATGAGAAGTGACAGTAAATAAACAACACACTGCATTGTGGGAAGTATGACCCTTTGATCACCCCACCCTTAACTATGATGCCCCCTCATAGGACGCAAAGGCAATACAGAGAGATGTGTCATCCATACTAGCCAAGGGGCAATATTCCCTTGCCAGGTAAACAAGCCTGGTTTTTACACAAACCTGTTTCTAACACTAAAAGTTTCAGGTGATACCAGTAGTAGATTTGTCACCTTTGACCTCCTCGGTTGATCTAAAGTCGTTAAAGATGGTCACTGCATAAACTATCAGGCAGTACCTCAAACGCAAAGTTAACCTCTGTTGAGGTCTGTAGTAGAAATAATGGCATACCAGTTTTGAGTATTTTATGGCTGCTGCTCAGTATCATTGATGTTAGAAATAGACGAATAGTGTCTCTACCATCATCTGAGTGAGACTATAGATGAATATTTAAAGTACACTCTAGCATTTCTGAGATTGTTGGGATTTGTAGTCAATATGGGCAGGTCAGTGTTAGAAACAATCCAAAACTTGATGTACTCTGAGATGGAGGTAATCACAGCACTGCGCGCTATGCGTATATTCTGTTCCTCAGTCAAATACTGCAAAAGAGTGAACATAGCCCATATGTTTTCTCAGCCAATGAACGCATTTCATAAACTATTGGGGGACCAATGATGACATTGATGAGCCCTCTGGTTCCTTGAGCCACATTGCACATCAGAGCAATACAGCACTTTCTGCTTGACTCAGGCAAGGTATTCCAAGAGAACTTGGTATTAAGACATATAATTCTACCTGTCAGTCAGGTTCATGGAGGTGCTAGTTAGGTAGACTATTTCCATCAACCTGGTGGTCGGAATGTCCTTTGTGGAACCTCTATCAACGTTGTCATTTAACATATGCCTTTGAGCGGGTGTTGAGGGTCAACCATGATCAGATAGCACCATCAGGTTATATCTGAGCCATTAGCAGTATACATCGGTCTTAGTGTTTACAACACCAAACACAACCTTTCTATTCCTCCATGCCCCAGCTTGTAGACAGATATCAGGGGGGAAACTTCAGGTCTGCAATCAACACCATGTTGTCTATCAGTTTGGAACATCATTGACGAACACGCCATGAAGGGGCTGTCTTGCACATGTGCAATGCCAATGTTGAAGCTTGCTACACGACGGTGGTCCATGCCATTATGGTGTTAAAAAATTCTTCATAAGCTTCCTATGAGCTACAATATGATGCATCATTTGCCAATTGGTAAAGGAAGACACTATTATGGCTGCTTTGGAAAGAGATGCACAGAGTTATGAGCTCCATACTTTCAGGCATTCAGAGTTCCTCACGCTCTGATGGTATACTGAAAGTCACACAGTATATTCATTTCTCATAACCCATGAGTCTGCTCCCCTGAGAGTATTGGTTATCACAGACTAGGTTCGATTTAGGGTGACAAACATACACACACAGTGAGTCGCTAGTGGACTTTCTATTCTTTTCTATTCTTTCTGTTGCTTAGGAATTTACCAGGACACTTACCAGTAGCTTACTGTAAAACATGTCTTTTTCGCGAATTTAGCGAGAGAACTGATTCGCTAATTCAAGATGTCGCTAATGACTTTATTATCTATTCAAAATGGCCGCCAAACAAAGAAATCAACAATGACAAGAGAGATTCGCTAAATCAACATTTTGCTAT